TACCTCTCTGATGTTTGCGCTGTAGAAGAATTTTAACAGTAGTTTCAGAAGCTCCTTTGAGGTGTAGGGTCTGTAGGTTGAGACCTCGGGGAGACCCCCGCAGTGTCGACGGCGTGGCCCTAACTGAGCGACCTCTGACCTGTTCCGCAGCACACTGATCCACAGAATGCCTCTTGTGTTTCAGGACACATAACAACAAATGTTGTAACTCTGGACTAATATATAGAGTAGCATGAATGAAACAATAAAACAACCCTGTAAAACCTGACATACTAAATAATTAAAACAAAACAAAACAAAATCTAGTTGAGCATCATACTGTGTATACATCAGGCTTTAATGGCTCATATAGTATGAAATAGCAGAATATGAAGGCTCATACTCAAGGAGGAAAAAACACCTCAATTTTATTTAGAGGCCCAAATAAGCAAAAAAATATGCAATTTGTTGCAGCTGATGATATTTACATGGCCAAAAAGTTAGATGAAAATGCTTATAAATATCAGTTGTCACTATCAGTTGTCTTTTTAAGATGATTTATTATTATGCTTAGTTTTATGAGCAAAGCTCTGTAGTGTTTAATGGGGGATTGCAATACAATAATGATTGAGAGGTTGTACAAATAAATGTTTCCTCAAAAGCCTGATGTATTATATTTGATACTCACATTTAAAAGACTAATAACTAAATACTAATAAGTAAAGTTGTTACAGTCCAGTAAGTGTTCCTCATTAAATATTATCAATAATATAAACGTTATTCTTGCATTTACATTAAAAAATCAGTAGAAAATTCACAGAAAAAGATGGTGCCACCTTAAAGACTTTTTAGTTATATATATATTTATATACAGTATATAAACTATCAATCAGATCGCAGAAAGCATGTAGTAGACTGTGCAAAACAAGTCAAGTTTTGATTATTTAATAATTTAGAGATATCTGATAGTGTTAAAGAGTACAGTGAGTCCTCTGAAAAATTTTATACATACAACTCCTCTGTTCAGTTGTTGTCCTCCGTCCTCAAATGATGCAGAATTGATATCAATTGCACTTTCTGTTTATTCAAAGGAGACAATGCTATTTAATCACCACAATCAGGGGTGAAATTAAAACATGAATACAGCTTGTAATATTAATTTTGAAATTGGATGCATCTCAGTAGCATTCACACCTAAAATACTTTAAATTGCATATGTATTCTCACCTTTGCACACTAAGCAGCAAGTATCCGGGACTGACACTGGTGAGGAGCATGTAATGGGCTGACAGGTTTTCAATGCACAGAATATATTCCCATTCTTTAAGAGAAAATATTAAGAATCAGAAATTGACAAAACTATTCAAATCAGCACCTCAGCATCAGTGCCTGACAACATGGGGGAAAGCAAGGATAAATTACTTTTTTTTAAATTAATATAATATCAGGCCAGTAAATGTCTCAATAACATATGAAACCGTGGAAGGAGACGTAACATTTTTTACATTATGCATGGTTTTATAGATCCTAAAACCAAACATTTCTTTTAGACATTATTATTAAATTTTCTTTTAATATCTATGTGTCTATGAAACTATATAACTATATTCACTATTTTAAGGAAATAGGTAATATGGTGAATGCATTATATTTCATTTTAAAAGCATAGCCTTTTATCCAAAACGCCTTACACTGTATTCAAGGTACACATGGAACCCAAGAGTTTGGTATTGCTAGCGCTTCCCTCTACTGTTTGAGCTACAGAAATACTGTATTTACGCCTGCTCTGCGATGCTGTCTTTCAAAACACTTTATTATAAAGGATTTTTAAACTGTTTGAGGTTAGATCCCTATGTTCAATGATGTACTATGGTGACAGCAACAATAATGATATAAAAAAGACATAAATACTTACAGAGCAAGTACACATGACACACTGGTTTGACTGACGGGATGGGAAAAGCTCATGGTTGGCAAATGTTTCCCCTGTTTGATAAGTGCTTCCATTATACCTACAGGTTTTAATGGGTGCCCGCAGACCAGCAGGAGTTCTGTGCTCATCTGTGATTATGAGAATAGCCATCAGACATTTCAAATAAGAACGTATTAGAATCATTCATATCAATTTACATAAACAATGGGACCTGGAAAAGTGTGATGTTTTACCTGCACAACGAGGGCAACACTGCTGTGAGTTCGTCACTGGATTTTCACATCGCAGAACAGGGCATTTGATGCTGTTGCATTTCACATGACCAGACTATATGTACACCCACATGAAAGTAGACAGAAACATTGACATATTACACACAGTATGTGGATCTGACATGTGCATGCACCTACATGACTGTATAGGAAAATTGCAACATTAAATCTTATGGGAATTCATGAATGATCACCTGTAAAAACAAAACAAAAACAATGCATATGAAAACTTTAAAAAGTCGTTTTTTAGACTTGGAAGTTGGATACGTACCTCTGTGCAAGTACAGCGCATGCAGAACATGAATCCAAAGGGCTCCAAATAGGGGTGCCAGCTATCTCCTGGCCTGTACGTCTTCTCTTTAAAAGTGCAGAAAACACCTGACACTGTATGCAACACAAACATATAATCATTTGATTTTCAAGAATAGCACTAATTATAAATGGGTTTTTTTCTATACATAAGTTTTACAGTTTATTTAGCCATTTTTCTCAAAGTCATGACACTAAAAGATGGCACCATAACATTAAACTGTTGTCTACTACAAAAAACAGGGTCTCTTACTAACGAAGCTGACAAAATACAAGATAGTGATAAAAAATCCTCAGAGGATGATGATGATGGCATTATGACAGTTTATATGTTATATATTAAATTGTGCATCATTTTAAAGGGGAGTTATGATTATAGCATTTAACTTGGAGACACTTTTTTTATTTTACTTTTTAATAAAAATGTTATGTTCACTGAATCCTACAAATATATTGAGGGAGACTAATTACAACATTATTAGCAAACATGGCTGGGGAGACAAAAAAAGGCATCCTTATGGAGAAAAAGGACGAAAAAAAATTATTAAAATAAGGTTACTGGGTTTTGTTGTCTTAATGAAATGAACTAATAATAATATCGTTGTTTACACATATTAATGAAGGACATAACAGACACCCTTTGCCGCAATGACAATCATTTTAATGACTTTGAAACACTGAAAGCGCCGTTATAAATTAACTTGTAAAATATAACTTCATCACACAGCATTTTCAATACAATCGTTTCGCTGGCAGAATGATGCAACGAAGTGTGATGCCCATTTACCAATAAACTATTCTCTGATGGAGACACTTACTTTTTCCTGGTCGTACTGCCTCTGTTTCACCCTGAACGAAGCATCGCAGTGTGACCAAAATGAAAAGATGTTTCAAGTAGGTCATTCTTTTCTTCATATTCCAGGAGACTGTGGACATGCAGGGTTTGTCTTCTCAAACTTCTCCGCACTTTATAACTACGACGGTCTGTGGGAGTTTCTGTAGAGCTTCTAGGTTTTTATCTAAAGCGCCTCCTACAGGAAAACCAACTTGCTGTGTTGTACAAACATTATCTTAGAAACATTACCAAAAAAAAGAAAGAAATAATCAGTTATGGAAAATGTGAACTGCTTCAAGCTCATCAAATCTGATATTATTCTGATATATGTTTATTTAGAATTTTTTTTTATATAAAAATTGTGTGTAATATTGACAGTAGTTAAAAAATACTAATTGAGTTGCTGCTGCACGGTATCAGTATATGGACTTGAAATTTGATATTATGCTGATATATATTTAACAAGAGCTATTTTATGTAATAAAAAAGCTTTTATGTAAGGCAAGGCAAGTTTATTTATATAGCACATTTCATACACAATGGTAATTCAAAGTGCTTTACATAAAAGAAAAGAAATAATAATAAAAAAAATAATCACAGCAATAAAAAAAACTTTGAAAATGATTTAAAAATTGATTTAAGAGGTTTAAAATGAATTTAAAACAGTTAAGAATAGAAAATGATTATACATAAAATATAGTGCAATCAGTTCGGACGTTGCACAGTGCTCATTCAGTAAATGCACAGCTAAACAGATGAGTTTTGAGTCTGCATTTAAATGTGACTAATGTTTTAGCACATCTGATCTCTTCTGGAAGCTGATTCCAACTGCGGGCGGCTTGGAGATAAGGCTAGGTAAATCTGGGTATCATCTGCATAGCTGTGATAGGCAATAAAATAATAAAATTGATGATGTAAAAATTATGTAATTATTTTCTGGAGCAGTTTACACATTGTTGTAGTTAGTCCTGTTCTAAATATATTAACATGTTAATTGATGTTGTAGTTCAAATCAGTTTTTTGAAATTGTTAAATGAATATATATATATATATATATATATATATATATATATATGTCACGTTTATGTTGTGTTTAGATTTCCCTGTGTTTCTGTTCTTCCTGCCGGTGACTAGTTTTCCTGTGTTCCCGGATTAGTTCATTAGTTTCCACCTGTGTTGATTAATCATCTCATTAGTTCCCTTTGTTTTTTGTTTTTTCCCATTTCAAAACTTAAAGCTAAAATAAACCATAATGCTCTAATATTTCAGGTAAAATTTGTGAATTTTTGGTCACGTTTTTCCCAAGCTGACCAAAAAACATCACATAGGCTATTTAATTGTGTCAGAAACACTCAAAAGTTGTTATAAAAACTGTTGTCATATTTAAAAAAAAAAAAAAAGATAAAGTGATTTTAAAAATCATTTGGATGGATGGATGGATGGATGAATGAGTGAGTGACCAAATTTTGATGTGAAAAGGTCTTTGACGCAATCCCTCAGGGAATATACCGTTAATTTCAGAGAAGAATGTGAGGTAAAACACATGCCCATCTAGACATATAAGCTCTCAGCACATGATGAGAATAAATTTATTGCAAACTCAATATATCTGACAGCAATGACATATACTGTTTATTTGTAATCAACACAAAGCTCACACAATTAATCACCCTCTCTCCAATATCTTAATAGTGTTTTATTGCAAACTAAGACTAACTCATTCATGTAAAATCAGAAAGTAAAGCACCTGTTAGTTTAGATTATACATAATCTTAGTCTCAATCTGTGCTGCCTGTTCCACTCTTTTCAGATAAGCCGTCCTGTACTTATTTTTCATGTCCTTCAGTAGCGTCAGTGCTTCCTCGTATTCTCTCTTACAAATACTATTCCCTCCTTCGAGTACATTATCTGGATAGACAACATATAAAAGTGCATTTAATTAATATCATTCTATGAGTAATGATGTGTTTAATATCAGAAATATCTATTCATATTAGTTTGAATAGTAGTTTGGAGGTTTTCCTAGATGACATATCCAAAATCATTCCATTGAAGTTCATGCATGTAGCGCAGTCCTACACACTAGCAATCTGTTAAGTGTTGAAATAATAGAGGAACAGCTGCAAAGCCAAATAGAGCATTTCAAAGTAAACAGCGCTGAACAATCATTATAACATCTCTGCAGTGTACTTGTTAGTTGACCTGTAAAACATGCTAGATTGTGCTAGTTGATGAAATTTATTTGCTGCTCAGTTGGAAAATATTTCCTGCTGGAATAGCATCACTAGGCTTGACTTCCTTAATTACACTGGATTCCATCACGGTTTTGTCATTTTAATAAATAAGTGACTACGTATATTTCAAAGCCTGCCATAAAATGACAAAGGAAGTATCTGTTACCTAATGGAACTTTGCTTATCGTTTTCACCTCCTTTATTTGGGCAAGAAGTTCTTCAACTTTTTCTTCCTTCGACTTCTTTGGTCCCAAAGGAGGCAAATTTTTGATCTGTGAAAAGAATGTTTCTGTATTCTTATTAATAACAGATGCTGAATACACGGTATATAACTGATGAATTACCTTTTTCTCTCTTTCGGTGTACGGCTTCTGTGGAAGGTCCAGATTTGCTTTAGAATCTCTATATACAAGCAGGTTCTTGAGCATGTGCTCCAAAACACTAACGGCTTGTTGAATTCCTGCATCGAGAGAAATCAGTGACAACAGGAACAAACAAACGGCACTAAATCAAATAAAGCAAGAGGTCAATAACAGAGTTTAGGAAAGTTCCTACCAGAAAACTCAGGCATTTCTAGCTCAGGTGTGTCATCAAGTAAGATTTCATAACCAATCAGTTTTTCTGGACATGCTTTGCTGCCTTTTTCCAGTTCTGTTTCCTTTGAATCATCTGGATCTTCTTGGTATTCAGATTCATTTAAGCCATTCATCTGGAAAATTAAATCAAACAAAAGTTTTCTAACATACATATCATACAAGTCTTGATATGTAGACTTCTAGTTTCTAGGTGCAACAAAATTACCTCTGTCACAAAGAACGGCTCTGCATTTTGATTCGTCTCAAAGAATATGTCTGCACTTGTCAAGTCAAAATGCTCCTGGCCTATGCCAATGTCTTCCTCGTCGTCAATGCTTGTTTGAGACGAGAAGCCAAATACATGAGTTAACCCATACTCTAAGGGTAGAGGATTATCTTGTCCAGTACATTTCTTGGAGAAGAGCGTTTCTGTAGCATGTTGATTTGCCGTGATCGAAGGAAATTTTGGAAGTGTGGTTTTCACCTGAAAGTTTAAGTAGAAGGTAAATTGTTTCTGAAAGGATTTACTTTAAAAATATGAAGTGCTAAATCCAAACTTGTGCATTTGTGCCACCTTTCTTTTATGGAGTATATGTCGCTTAATGAGATTAGTTGTTTTTTTGCGTGTTATCTTAATACCCAGCTTGTCTTGAAGAAAACAGGTCAGCATTGGTGGATCGCCTGTATTGAAAAACACAAAAAGATGTGCATTTTTTGTCAGATTTAGTTGATTTAATGCACTAACAATGAGCCTGCCTGAGGATGTGTGAGCTTACCACTTCTCTGTGTTGTCAAGGGGTTTGAGTGAATAACAAGCTCACTGAGCTTTGGAAACAATGCCACGGGCAACAATGCCTCTTCCTCAGCTATCTAGAGGAAAGAAGTGGCAAATAGCTCTGCTGTCAATGACTTCATTCAGCTGTCTATGTTTGTAGCAAATCAAAAGCCTTTTAACCGCCAGCAGGCAATACACAGACCTCATTGTTGGCCAAATTCAGATGACAAAGTTCTGGAAAAGGTAGACGAAGACCCTGAGCGCATCCATCCTCCTTTCTCTGATGATAGTATTGTAAGGGACCAGAATGCATTTCGAGACATGGTTTGTCCTCCTATTTGAGAAGCAAGTAAGACTGTAAAATGCTGATAAATATCTCTGATAAATTGAATTTTTTTTTAATTGATATGATGTTTGTAAACAGGAGAATAAAAAATAAGAGAGAAAATCCTACTTTCAATATTTGTTCTGGTTTTTGCTGGCTCACTGTGATATCAGAGTCTATCTGGCAGAGAACGTAAATAAATGAACATGTAAACAACTTGTTTTCCAACTTAAAATTGGTCTTATTTAAAAAATAAATAATTTAATATACTAACACTTTGTCCTCTTGTCATTCACTGTGTTCACATTCTGTCCGATGCTCTGTGGCATAATGCCTGTCTGGGCATCTTGTAATGTTGCCATCTGTTCTAAGAATGGGACTCCTGAGATGTAATTTCCTTGTAAGTTGAGATGACGAAGTCTAAATGCACAATAAAGTTAAATAAGAAAATAAAAATGAAAGAGAATGAAAGAATAATTTGTGCAGTTTCTTAAAAATAAAATTTCCAATGTGAGCTAACCATTGCCTGTTTGCATTTTCCTCATTTATTAGTTTATAATTTATTACTTCAATTTTCTAAAAACAAAACAGGGCCATTTAATCACTACACATTAATGTTTACAACACTAAGGCTACTGTATTGTTTTGTTTAAAAAAATTAAAAGAACATTTTGTGGCTGTGCCTCAAGAGGGCAATCTATACCTAGAAGACTTGATAGACCACCAAATGTTACTCCTAACTGCTTGTAATGGCTGCACCTTTTGTGCAGAAAACTAAAATTTGCATTCATACATGCATAAATAAGGTGTTTATGTTTAAGATCCAATTTAAGCACCTGTAAGCCACATGTAATGCAGGCCTAGTGAGATAATCTATCTTGTTAAAAGTGACTTTTATGTTATATGACTGAAATTCCTTTAAACATTCCAGAAATGCCAGAGAAAACTATTTCTCTATATAAAAAAAGCTTACTTACCTCTTTAAGTTAGCGAGGCTCATAAACACTCCTGGAGAAGATAATTTGTTGTCATCAAGCATCAATACCTCCAGAGTTTGAAATAGTGAGACACCTTGTTCTGTGCTGTTGAAAAAGAAAAGATTATATGATACAGAGACTGAAAACTACAGTGAAATCTATGCACTATGGATTCTACATTTTGTCTTGTGAAGGAACTAGAGTAGTAAACATTTACTTTTCTCCAGGGCAGGTACAAGGTCCAGCCATATTGAGGGGAAGCATCTGCAGTTGGTTTCCAGTCAGATGGAGCACCTTCAGATGTGGTAGCAGGCCTACATTTAATATACTTTCTCCTGTTAAGTTATTGAAGGATAAATCCAACACCTGAAACAAATGAATAATGTCAAACTTCTTTGATCATCACAATATTCTCAGTGACGTCTGCTTAAAGTCTTCAAGGTTGAAATATGATCCCATCCCAGTATTCAAGCAAACTCACCTCCAATTTCTGGAAGTCTTCAGCATGAATTTCCAAATCATGGAGACTGTTCAATGACAGCTCCAATTCCCTCAGTGCAGGAAACCTGGCAAAGGGTTCTTGAAACAAATTATATAAGAATATGTTTTGTATGCAAACAATTTCGACTATAAATGTCATATATAGTCTATAAATATATATATACAAAATGTAAATAATATAAAACGTACAAAATATTGTATTACCTAAAGTTAAATGGTTATCAGAAGCATTTATGTATGCAGTGTTATCAAATTGTTCCAAACCCTCAAGTTTGACCTGTTTAAAAAAAGAAAAATGCTTCTGTGATGTAATGGCAAATAAATTTTTTTATTATTATATTTAATTAATTGATTTATTAATTTATTTACAGAAATAGATTAAAATAAGTAATTATATTGTAGAAATCTATATGTTTGGTAAAATAAGTCAAACATGGCTACATTGAGAAATATTTGATTTAAAAAATTTTTTTTAAACATTTATGTCATCTTGAGGCCTCCTGTTGAGAACCACTGGGTTAATCTAACAAACTAACTTTAAACAATGCTTTACACGGGGCTTACCGTTTGCAAATGCTGGCCACTGATGTTAACAGAACAGAGGTCAGAGGGCTTATCCACACAATGCAATGTAAGCTGAAGTATTGTGGAAGTGTTTGCGTGTATGTTCAATAAAGAATATTAAAAGAGAAATTGAACATCAATGTCACATTTTAAACAAATGAATGAATTAACACACAAATGTAATAAGCATTCTTACAAAAAGTTGAGCATCTAAAGTGTTGCTAGCACTCTCTGTTCGTCTCTTTTCATGTTTCCCAGAGTGCACTTCAAAACGTGAATCTGAAATGTTTTTCCTTTTTGATGTCCTCTCTTCCAAAGTATTTCTGTTTGCTACAAGCCAGTGTCCAGCCCCTTGAAAAATAAATAATATTACAGTGGACTGTTCAATAATTTCAGCTGTATTATTATTATTATTTAAATGTTAAGAGTTTATAGGCATGTTTTCCACAATAGTCAGTAAGACTGTTTAAAGAAATTAACACTTTTATTCAGCAAGGACGCATTCAACTGATCAAGTGACGTTAGAATCTATTATTTCAAATTAATAGAATGCTGCCAGAAAACTGAAAAAAGTACTATAATGAGGAAACAAAAATATTAAGCAGCACAAATATTTTCAACATTGATACTAATAAGAAATGTTTCTTGAGCATATTAGAAGGATTTGTGAAGGATCATGTGAACTTTGTCATCACAGGAATAAAAATCACCTTCGTTTCTTGGATGAAAAAATGATCTTATTGGGAAACAGTTTGAAGGGTAACTTTGTCCATTGTCCAGTTTGTAAATCCCCAGTCCTGTCATTCTTTCAGGGAGCATTTACCTCCTAGACAACATTAAATTGGGATTTATTTAATGAAATAAATCCCACACACACACACACACACAATACAATAAATACCAAATAAACCGTTAACCACAAACGTTAAGATAAAGTACTTTAGTAACTCTAGAAAAGTAACTTACATTAACTTGGAACCACCGAGTCTCTTCTACTATGCGCTCTGTCTCGAATATTTTTTTACAAACAAGACATGTCTGTCTTGCATGGTATCCTAGCAACCGCAGTTACGCGATATGGTAAATGTAGTATTTATACCACGTTAACTGATTCTTTTGAGATTTTAACTCAATGAATACAATTTGAAAAATTATAAATTAATTTGAAAAGGTACAGTTGAATTAATATAAGTGAATGAAATAAGTGTACAGGGTCCTTGTTAGTTCCGAACTACATTTCCCACAATGCACTGAATTAGTTTCCGCTTTCGTCTTTCTCAGCTGTCTGCAGTGGAGGAAGCTGGAGACAAGAGGTCCTCGCTGCAGCCTGTGGCACGATGACGTAGCTGGACTATATCCACTACGTAGTGGATATTTTACGCGTGTGCGCTGTAGTGAGTCTCGAATAAATTCATATTTTTATTTACATTTTATCATTTTGCAGACGCTTTTATCCACAGCGACTTAGTCTAATGACTTGGTCTAAGTTAAGTCTAACGCAGTACACGTTGCAAGGTTTTTTGACCTACATTACATATCTACACGATGAACTACATTACATTACAATGTAAAAACTTTAATGTCTAAATTCATCCGCGATGTTTTCGTCTATACCGGCAACTTCAAAGCTTTATTTATTTAATTATTAATTTTTTGAATAGCCTGCAATTCATATGTTATCGCGAGCATGCACATCAATGCTGTATCCATTATTATAAGGATACAACAAGCACTGTAACATGACCGATATGCAGACGTTGCACTGTAAATAGCTAATTATTAAGATGTACTTCTGTCATGAAAACAAATTCCTCGTATGTGAAAATATACCTGGCAATAAAGCTCATTCTGATTCATCACTCTAGCAGAGTTAGTCTAAATGTCTTTTTGATTCTATCCGTCATGTTTATTTAAATTTAATTGGGGGTATTAGATTAATACCGATCCATTTTGTTTATTTAGATTTTATATTATTCTAATATAGCTAGAGAGAGAGAGAGCGCTCTCGTAACGGAATGGATGGTTTATGTCTTTAGCCATTTATAATTGGTCTATCTATCTCCAGGGAACGAAAAATAATATCCCAGTATAACCCGGGATAACGGTCTATCGGCTATACGGAACCCCGACTTACAGGATTGGTTTTCTTCTTTTTATTTTATATGGTATAAAAATTATGTCCGCATATTTTAGTAGGCCTATAACTTTTTTTATACTCTGTCACGTATAGCACAGAGAGTGAGAACGATAAATAATATTTGATTCATGAACGAATTTTTGACAGAACTATCTAACTATCTTGACTATCAGAGGAAAAAATAAAGACAATAGTTACACCCCATTTTTTTCATAAAGAACAAACAAAATTGTAGTTAGTAGAGTTTTATTTCTAAAACGAATCAAACTAATAAAAAATAAACATAGCTTACATACCCTTTCATTCAAAACGACGCCATCGTTGCTTAAATAAAGTTTAATACGCTACTAGTTTAAAATCACAGTATACTATAATTTGTGTAAGCCTATGAAACACACCTATATCTCGTAATTACAGTTGAATTTACATTAAATACTAGCTTCAATGGCAGCCCCACTTTGCGCATGCGCATTAAAATCTGATCCAGCTATGTCATCGTGCTACAGGCTGCAGCGAGGACAATCTCACTGGAGACGGAGAGCCGCATTACACAGTACTGTACGTTTAACCCGAATATTACACGTTATATGGAATGTGAAGTGATTGTATGTATTGTAAGTTTTTGTCTTAATATCTTTAATTAAAAATGATATTATTGGCGCCGTATCAGTTGATTATGTATGTCTATCTATACCGTGTGGGATCAGGACGTTTAAGTCTTTTTAATGAGTTTATATGATTTATATTTTATATTTATTTTATACTTTTATTTATTATTAAATAACAGCAGGGACAGTATTTTCTGAAGACGTCTCTAGACATGAAAATGCCTCAAGTTCAAAGTCCACTTCAATTCATGTCATATGCAGTACCCACATATGTTTACCTAATTTTGTTTTTCTAGGAATGATTGGCAGCATGGCGTCAATAAGCCACCCAGAAGCCCAGCACGCCCTGCCTGCACGAACAGCATTATTCCAACAGAAGGATGGTAAAACATATCGGATTCCTGCTCTGATCTACATCTGTGATGGTCAGACTTTCCTTGCCTTTGCTGAAGAGCGCAGCACTCCACGTGACAGTGATGCAAAAGTGTTGGTCATGAGGAGAGGCTCACTGCAAAATGGATCCCTTCAAGTAATTTTCTTTTTTTCATATATTATGTATTATTATTTATCAATATATCTGTAGTTTACAAGATACACTACAGTTAAAATTTTTGTGGTCACTACTATTTTTTTAAAATTATTTTTTAAAGAAGTTAAAGGGGTCATATGATGTTGCTAAAAAGAACATTATTTTGTGTATTTGGTGTAATTAAATGTATCTATGCGGTTTAAGGTAAAAAAAAAAAAAACACATTATTTTCCACATACTGTACATTATTGTTTCTCCTCTATGCCCCGCCTATTCAGCAAGGATGCATTAAATTGTTCAAAAGTGACAGAAAATACTTTTTATTTCAAATAATTGTTGTTCTTTTGAACTTTTTATTCATCACTGAAAACAATCTATCAGTATTTCCAAAAAACATTATGCAGCACAACTGCTTTCAACATTGATAATAATAAATGTTTATTGAGCACCAATTCAGCACACTAGAATAATATCTAAAGGTCTTGTGACACTGAAGACTGGAGTAATGACTGCTGAAAATTCAGCTTTGCCATCACAGGAATGAATTGCATTTTAAAATATATTAAAATAGAAAATAGTTATTTTAAATGATAATAATATTTTATAATATTACTGTTTTTACTGTATTTGTGATCAGATAAATGCAGCCTTGGTTAGCATAGAAACTTCAAAAACATTTTAAAAAAATCTTACTGACCACAAACTTTTTAACAATTGTGTATAATTTTATAATTCAACATTTTAATTAATTGTCATTGTTTTCAGTGGTCTCCTGCTCAAACACTCTCTTCTGCTCGTTTGCCGGATCATCGCACCATGAATCCTTGCCCAGTCTATGAGAGGAAATCCAAAACCATCTATCTGTTCTTTGTCTGCATATTGGGCAATACCACAGAGTATCACCAGATTGCTACGGGTAGAAACCAAGCACGGCTGTGTTACGTCACTAGTACAGACTATGGCCAAAACTGGAGCAAGGTAACAGATTTAACAAATATTGTTGGAGATGAGATTTGCAACTGGGCTACTTTTGCAGTTGGACCAGGACATGGTATTCAGATGAAAAGTGGAAGACTAATCATTCCAGCTTATGTTTATTACATACATTGTAGGTGTTTTCCCTTTCATTTTCCACTCATAGTCAGGCCTCATGCTTTAGCGTTCTATAGTGATGACTGTGGTGTCACCTGGCAGATGGGAGAAAAAATCCCAATGAAATCCTGCGAATGTGAGATGGCTGAGATCATAGACCATGCTGATCTGAGTCATTTGTACTGCAATGCCCGTAGTACATTTGGCCACAGAGTGGAGGCTTTAAGTGAGAGCTACGGGGCAGCTTTTGGCAACCCTCATGTTGCTCAGAAACTCGTGGAGCCCCATCATGGCTGCCAGGGTAGCGTGTTGAGCTTCCCTGTGCCCGAGCCATTGGATGAAGTGGAGAGGAGCCCAAATGATTGCTTGACACAGTCAGACACAAAAATGTGGTTACTCTATTCCCATCCAACTAGTAAAAAGAAAAGGAAGGATCTTGGAGTTTACTTGAATAAATCACCATTGAAAACGTCTGGTTGGGGCCAACCATGGATCATCCATAAGGGTCCCAGTGGATATTCAGATTTGACACAGTGTGAGGAGCGATTTGCCTGCCTCATGGAGTGTGGAGAGAAAAGTGAGATTGAGGAAATAGCCTTTGTGGAATTTAAACTCAGCAATTTATTGTGCACTTGAAATGATAAAAGTACTTCCTATGGCAAGTTTTAAATGAATAATTCACCCCAAAATCCTCAGGCCATCCAAGATATAAATTAGTTTGTTTCTTCATCTGAACAAATTGAGAAATTTAGCTTAATATCAACTTGTTCACCAATGGCTTCTTCAGTGAATGGGTGCCGTGAGAATGAGAGTTAAAACAGCTGATTAAAAACAATAATTCAAAAGTAATCCACACCACTCCAGTCCATCAATTATTATCTTGTGACACGAAAAGCTCAAAAAAGTGTTTGTAATAAACAAATCCTTCATTAAGATGTTTTTAACTTTAAACCATTGAATCAATCCTCTTAACTGAATCAGAAGAGAAATTTACTTGCAATGTTTACAAAAACAATTCTAAATAATTATTTAATAAATAAATATTTCATCAGCTGTTTGGACTCTCATTCTGACGGCACCCATTCACTGCAGAGGATCCATTGGTGAAAAATGTATGTAATGCTAAATTTCTTTGAATCTGTTGCAATGAAGAAACAAGCTCATCTACATCTCGAGGGCGAGGGTGAGTAAATTTTCTGCAAATGTAATTTTTGGGTGAACTAGTCCATTAAAGTTTGCTTCTGGGTTAGATTTGCTTCTTTCTACTGGATAATAAAAAAAAATAACTGACAAAATAGCTGTATTTTGAATTCAGATAAATTTATCTGAGGTGAAGTCCGAGCATCTCGTGAAATCATGAAACTGTTATGGCTTAAAAAATTAAGCAGTTAATGTGATAATTAAATCATGACTGTGCTGGTCCTGGCTTGATACATGTAAGGTATGCTTTACCTTGTATTTGCTTGTTGACCTTTGTTATAGGACTGTTTGATGGTCACTACTCATTTGTTTGTCATGTATTTGTATGTCATATAGGCTGCTTAATTTTTATGTTGGACTATGTAGACTTTTTATTTTGATTCATTTAGTTTCACTGTAAAAATTTTGCAATTTTTTAAATATTTTAATATTTTAAGATATTTCTCTCTATTACCTTC